TGTAAGTAAGGGTGGGTGTGAGGTGTAAGTAAGGGTGGATGTGAGGTGTAAGTAAGGGTGGGTGTGAGGTGTAAGTAAGGGTGGATGTGAGGTGTAAGTAAGGGTGGGTGTGAGGTGTAAGTAAGGGTGGATGTGAGGTTTAAGTAGCTGAGGTAGCTAATTTGTACACACACAGACAGAGGGACAGACGTACATACATATACACCCAGACAGACAGACTGACGCACACATAGACTGTCAGACTGACGCACACACAGTTTCCGCTCTCACCAAGAGGCGGTTTGGCCACAGGTTTCCGGAACCTCAAGTCTCCCACTGGCGGCTCGGCGTAGGGCACGCCCCTAAAGGCGTGGAAGCTCCGCCCATCTTCAGTGGTCAGTTCTTGGCCCAGGTACGTGCCGGACGGTGACGTCACACGCACTGGAGAGTCTGCTGCCAGGGTCAGTGTCACGTGACACAAGCACAAGGTCAAGGCCACGAGTCTCAGCATCGTGGGAAGATGGTCTGTGAAGAAATGTTGAAATGTTGAGGGAGTTGTTGTAGAAGGACGTTGAGTGAGGACGTATGTGTGTGTGCGTGTGTGTGTGTGTGTGTGTGTGTGTGTGTGTGTGTGTGTGTGTGTGTGTGTTGTGTGTGTATGTGTGTTTGTTTGTGTGTGTATGTATGTGAGAGAGTGACAGACAGACAGATAGACAGACAGACAGATAAATAGATAGACATGCCAAGTGTGTGTTAATGTAGTATGGACGTTTCTGTCTGTGAGTGAATGATGAACACAACCAAACAGTTTTCAGAAAGAACAGAGATCTTGTTTAGACAGGTTGCAACCCTAAGCATTATATTGAAATAGGCACACGCACACACATATACACACACACGCACACACACACACACATACGCACACTTAACATACTTGTGCATTTACGTATGAAATTTGCCGAGTTCAGTACCTCCAACAACGTTAAGAAACACTGACCTTAATGACGTGAATATTTACAATAAGAGCTCCTATCTTATGATTCAATCACTACTTTATATAACACAAACACACCCTCCATTCCCCCAGGCCCTCGAAAAAAGACAAGGGAATGTATTTATTTTTAAAATGAAGAACAAATTAATCATCCTCAACTTACCTTTCTGCCAGCCACGAAATAAAAAAAGAAAATAGTATGTAGCCTATAGAATGATTTAATCTTCCGTATTGAAAAGCAGTGCACCGGTTTGTATTTGTAGGTAGGAGGGATGTGCGTTTTGCAGTAGGATTTCTCCTTAGCACTGCTCGTTCTCTGTCGGTGCTGCGCGGTCAATGACATAAGAATTATGACGTATGCTTCCGCTTTGAACGCAATCCGAGTTCTAGATCCGGTTAACCGGACCATTCATCCACCATAACCTACCTCAACCCCATAAAAACAAAACACAACAAAACAAAACTCGTTACCGTTTCACGGGTCGGTACTCTAGTTTACCAATTCACTTTGTGTCAATTGGGTGTTAGAGAGTGTCCCTCTTTAATATAAAATACCAGCATAATTAATACGGCAGTAAATATAGAAACCGAATAACAAAGATTTGGTTCTTTAAAGAAATGGGTATATGCCCAGCTGTGGTCTTCTCTGTCACCACACCACGCCTCACTGCATACTGCAGACAGGTGGGGTTAACGGAATGTATGTATGTGTGTGTGTGTGTGTGTGTGTGTGTGTGTGTGTGTGTGTGTGTGTGTGTGTGTGTGTGTGTGTGTGTGTGTGTGTG